AAGACGTTCCAAATTCTCACAACAAGTCTTTCAAGTGTTTTGAYTGTGTTCTGAATTCCTTTGACACGAGAGCGAGGCTCTACGACGGACGCAAGGACACAAAAAACCCTCGAGAATCTGGTTTTTTTAGACGGTTTTGGAACAAGTCTTGTTGTTAAAGAGGAACAGATGGTTGAGGACTGACTTGCCAAGATGACCATGTCCATTCCCCAGAAGATGCTCATGATCCAGCCCACCATGATGACGGCCGTCAGGATCTGGATGAGAGCTGCTGCCACGTTGAGCCAGAACACGCAGCAGACGCCTCGCTCGGAGATCAGCTCGCTGCGAGCTCCACACAGCACGCTGAACGCTGAGATGAAGGTGCCTGCAAGACACAAAACCGTACCACCTTTTATGACAAACAAAACCTTCAAAAACAGACTCTAATTGCTCGCACACATTCGACTTCACAGATCTGAGGACTGGTGAAAACTTCTCACGAAAATTCATCTCAAATCCACAGCTTTGAGCTACACAAMCTGTATTAGATTTGTAGGAAATGTGCTTCATATACTCCATCTTGATTTGGTCTAATAACATAAAGTTAGACAATTAACGCCAAAAACAAGTGAGGGGAATGTAATTACTTTTACCCTAAATTTGGAAGCAGACAGAGGAAGCATTCATCATCTTGAYACAAATTTCAACCTGATGAAGTTCCTTTCATTTCCCTGAAATCTAACTCTGAGCCATTTGGACTTTTAGTGCAGAGATTAGACCACGACACAAACTTATACACTCATCTCCATTTGCACATGTCCTATTTACTTGATGAAAAAATACATAAACATTTTTATAAAACAGATCTATCAGCTGCAGTTTAGTAGCTGGTACTCAAAGTTTTTACTGTATATTCCCAGAACCAGTATATACATCCTTTTTTAATATACAGATATTTTGAAGTGAGATCATGTGGAAAAGTTAGTTATTATCTTGCTTGTTGTAATTTTGCTTATTGAACTATTTCTGTTTCGAGGACTAGAGCTCAGTTCTGACTGGACCGATGAGCTAATTGGTTGTTTGAATTGGGCCAGTTGTGGCACTGACAAATTTGGGCCATAACAACTGGAACTAAACCCTTACTATTAATGTCTTTTGTGTATTTACGTGTAACGTACTAAAAAATACCTTGAATATTGTGAAGTTATACCTCCTGTGAAAAGGCGTGTGAACACACACGCCAACACATTTTAAGTTTAAGGCATTTATGGGTGATGTGATATGAACGGTAACAGCGTAGTGTGTGGTCTCATTTAGTCTTTACTTCAGACTTGGATTTTTAATGCGTTAACACTACTTTGCACCCCTGTTGTAAAGAACTGGATTGTAAAATTCTGGCAGCAGACAAACCAGTATTTTATTATTTTACATCTGCTGCCATTAATCCACTCATAAGTAAGCAGCTCAGTAGCTCGCTGCTGCAGCATTGTGTTCACATAACACACACACACACACACACACACACACACACACACACACACACACACAC